GAGAGGAGGTTCTTCTCCCTGGCAATAATTGATCTTGGAATCAAATTGAGAGGCAGCAGTTAGTTTAAAAAGCATTGCCAGTTGGCATAGCTGCGGGGGCCTCATGCTTTCTGATGGTGTTAGACATTTTTAGATGTCATTTGCCATCATCATGGACTGTAATTCTGAAGCCTCCCTGCAGCACAAAGAGAAAACATTACTCTGGAAAGGTGCCAATAAATGTCCAGTGCAGCCCTGATGAGGACTCACTGGGTACCCAAAAAATAGTTCTTATCAGAAATTCCTCTTATCCAGATAATATTTCAAACGAGAAAAATTTTCGGGGATAAACAAGTTTTTCTTTACAGCAGAAATTCGCTACATCCAGGATCGCTTCAAGCGTTTTGCACTGTAATTTTTTTAAGCCCAGTTGCATTTGATGCTGTTTTGTGTGCTGATGAGTCCTGTTTGTCTTCAGGAAGCATGTCCTCTATTATTGTATTTTCTAAACTACTGCAGTGTTTAATATCCTTAAGTCCCCATGTGTATTCCAGGGGCCCTCTTTTAAGGGGCGGAAGCGAACAAACCCAATGTTCTTCAGCCAGTTTGACCTGAAATGTGACGCAGTAATGATTTGCTATATCAGCATCCTGTCCTGGAAGCTGAACTATTTTTTTTATATCAGATTAGGAAAAAATAGTAGCAGAAGGCATGGTGCCAGGAAGTAGGGGCAGGGGCCGACCAGCACAAAGTTTGGCACTGCATATAACAGACTCTTTGGGTATGAAAGTGCCTGAGATAGGAGAGCTGACGAGAGACTGGGTTTCTTTCAGGCAGACCACGTTAAAGGTGACATTTTGCAATAGGACCTGCTACATAATGATCAAATCAAATATGTTCAGCAGAAAGGTGCAGATATCACAGCCTAGCTGTAAATGTCTGCATCTTTCCTTTAAAGGGCAGATGAAGTAGTAAAAGAAAAAGATTAGGTTAAATATTAATTTTAATGTGTGCGGATCATCAACGCACATATGTGTTTCTGGATACACTTTACTAGTGAATGTTGTCGTCTTCTTTGCTTTCACTGCTGTAAACTCTGGTGGAAAGTTCTGGTTGTTAATCCACTTTTGGACCTTAATCATGTTCCAGAACCTGAGTCTAGCATGCACATCTGTTTTACAGATCTGGATTATTTGTGTGTAGACTGTTGGTTTCTTACCTCTCAGGCAGGCGCACTCCAACTTCGAATGAACATTCTTTATAAGTCGACTTACACAGGGTTTGCCCCACCCACCGTGCCACAATGGGGCCCAGCAGAACCTGGTAATTAGTTAATGTGAACTGCCATCTTTTATAGTTTAATTTTCCATGAGCTTCTTTCATCCACAGGACAAACCTTACTTACAACCTTTCATTGAAGAAGTCGAGAGGGAGTTTGAGGAAAGGAAGCAGTGGGATACTGTGTAAAACTGACTTGATTTCGTTACCTGCCCAAATGACATTGTTAAGGATTGTGTTGAGTGTTAAAATAGTTTAGACAATGCTTGTGACTTGTTTGAGGATACAATTGTTTTGCCACTAATAAACGTTACCTTCTCTATCTGTTATTACCCTAGTGAAATAGATAGTGTTCTTTTTTGACTCGGTGAAAGTTATTTTTGTTCTGTCATTTTGGATCGAAATTTGTAGAAATTTGGACGAAGGAAACAAAAAGAAGGGTGGGGAGTGGTGTGTGTGTGTGTGATCAGTCTATTTTTTTCTTAAATGGCGGTTTCCATAGTGGAATTTGATACGCTTCTAGTTCTAGTTTTGACAGATGTAAAAAAAAAATGGATCTATATCCTGATGTTTTTATGACATCTACAAAACAAATTTAATGTAAACGTTCAGCAAAATGTCAACATATCTTGTGGCAAACTGTTGCACATTAATTTAGATTTAGGTTGTACGCAGGATGCTTAATATATTACTAAGCACTAAAAATGTGTGTCGTGTGGGTGTATGGGTTTTCTCTATATCATACCAAGTTCCAAGTAGAATAATAAAAACAGATGGCTAGAAAACGTGAATATTGCCATGTGTTTAATTTGTTTTGTGTTTGTGATCATTTGTGGCTGAGAGGTTTGTAATTCCAAAAAGCCTGGCCAGTGATAAGTTATTTGGCAGTAGGCTGCTTGCATTGATTTCAAAATTAGTATCGAGCGTCAACTATTCAGAAATTCTTTTTCTTCTTCTTCTTGTTCAACGGCTGTGAATTCCGGCGGTAAGTCGCGGTTGTTCGTCCAAAATGGACTTTTGGCTTTTACCTTGACCTGAGTTTTGCGTGTACAGCCGTTTTACTGGCTTATTTGTTCGCAGTTCTCGTTCCCCGCCTCTCCGGCAGATGTACTCCAACTTCGGGGGAAGACGTCAATCCTATTTCTAGGTTGACTGTGGCCATTGTTTTGTGTGGGTCGAGATGTTGCCTCATTTGTGTGGTGTCCTCTTTGACCTTTAACAGGTGAGGCCCCCGGAATGTCGTCCTTAAGGCAGCTCTATGTAGAATTATCAGCCCTCAAGGGAAGGCAGGGGCAGATCATGGGCATTCCCCGCCATCCAAGGAGGCTTCCATAAATGCAGAGCCGACACATGATGCTCTGGTTCTGGGCTCACCCAAGGAATCGTCACGTCCTGCCCATGACTGCTTAACCTCACAACCGTGTATTAAGCTTCCCGCGCTACAAGGCTGCACTCTTCGGAGATCAGCGGGGAGCAGCCCGCAGGTCTAGGACGTTTGTGGCCACACAAATGGGTACATTCTTTTTTCATCGTACGTTAGACACCTTTAACGTTGTTTCAGCTGTGCCCTTGGCACGACAGAATGGGGAAGCAAAATGCGTCAGGCGTGGCTTCACCTGTTTGGTCCCAACACTTGGACCAGTGGATACGGACATTCGGACTTTTCCTAATCTGTACGAGTTATGGTCGTCGGACTCTGAGCTTGCATGTGTGCCGTGGGGTATAACTTTGTCGGACATTATTTCCAAACCAGCATATGAAAAGTTGCTGCCGTGGTGTACCTCAGCGCGGTGACGACGACACTGAGGATTGAGGATGTACGTAGGTAGGATCTTGCTGCGAGAAGTCGACCACAGGAAATGTTACTCGTCTTGGCTGCGGGTAAATCTCTCGGTCAGGGTTGAGTCTCATCAGCACAGTTTTCCGTTCGCTCCCGAATTTTAACCAAGAGTTGTCATTTGATGGTACATTTAGCAAGCAATCCTTGAGTTTTGTTTGACTTTTCACCCATGCGTTTGGGGGCGGGCTGGTGAGAGCCAGAAAGGACACTACACCTCTAGGGGCCGCCAGCTCCGAGATCCCCTGCCAACTCTGTTAATGCTCATTTGAGACATTATCCGTGGCGCACGACGGGGACGTGCAGCAGGAGTCTTGCATGAGGTTCTGTAAAACCAGAACAGTGAAGGACTGGCGCCCGAGTGGGGTACGGAGTATCTCCTTAAACACCTCACATCAGACTTAACTTTGCCTCATGCCTGTGACCGAAATCACCGCGCCACTATTCAGAAATAATTCCTAGACATAAAAATTATGAATTAAAATCACAAATGCTTGGATTGGCTGACATCCTCTAATAGAATCTTTAAGGGGTTTCAATCACAAATGGAGACGTGTTTCACATCTTGTATGGGAGCATTAGGAAGTACCCAGTGAATTGCTGTCTGGATCGGTGTCACGACGGATACTAAAATGGGTCCTTGTTATGCATGCCTTTTTGTGAGTTTTCTTTAACATCAGGTTTGCTCTACATACACAGTGGCATGCTTCGCTTCAGAGGTAACGAAGAGCATTGTCTGAATCTTTTCTCCGGGGCATGCTTGTGTGTTAGTAAATAAATGGGCAGACTGACTGACTGGCTCTGCACAACGTGTTGGAACACATGTTGAGCCAGTCGTGGTTAGGGCTTGTCGGAGAATGTCTCAAATTCAGAGGGGCAAGTTGACCACCACATTCTGATGAGAATGATGCACCGGGGAGTTACGGGGGGATGTGGTTGATGCTCAGAGGAAAGGCAAGACGGACATATAATCGAAGTGCAGCTTTCATCAATAGCATTGGAATGCTGCGCTGGATGCTGAAAATGGGAACAGAGCACTAATGGGAATACTCTGAGTCCTGTGATGTCGGTTCATGAATCAACTCATCTCATCCTCTAAAGCAGTGTCCCTCTACCTTTTTAGAGCCATGACTCAACAAAAAAGGAACATTTTTTCATAGCCGACCAAAACAGATGCAGGACAAAAAAATAACACAAATGTAGGTTTGGGTGATGGATCAACATCATGGTACAAGGGTAGTAACACATGTAGTAACAAGTGCTCCGTTATACCTCTGACTCAAGCCTGAGTCAGATGACAGAGACGTAACAACTGTATACACAAGGGAGATGAATGCTTGTAGACCATGAGGCAGACCAAGAAGATGATGAAGAGATAATGTCCAGAGAGACATGAAAACACTTAGTATTACCAACTGGAAAGAGAAGGCCACCAGAGAGATGAGTGGAAGCAGGTGATATTTGCAGTAATGAACCTCAAGAGCTTGGAATGCACAAAAAGATCTTGACTTCTTCTCAACCCACCGGTTGAAGAACACTGGTCTATAAAGCATATAAAATTTAAACTTCATGGGCATTTGTCTTTCTCGATGGATGCATTACACATTCAGTGCATCAGTCCACTTGTACAATTCCCACTGCCAACGCCAAGCCCAAATGAGAAAGAAGGAGGGCTGTGCATGGGGCCAGCTCCACCAGTATGTAACCAAAAAAAAAAAGTCATCTATAGAAACTTGCAGTAAAGGTCACCATTCGGATAAACAAATGAGTCTTATGGTGCGGGACTGAAGAGACGAGGAATCCATGATATTGAAGTGACTGCACAAGACAGAATGTAACGGAGGACTAGACTGTGAGCCTTTTATGACATAGAATGGCACAACAGGATAATAGTTGGACATTTCTTTCACATTTTAATTTCTATACTTTGACCGTTGCGTAACTGTCGCCGCTCAACCGTGTCGGATGCGGTCAGCGTGTCGTATTTTTCTAGCAGTGTTGTAGTTTCTCCTCCACGCCTCCTCAAGATGCAGAAAACCACAACCATGTTGATTGCGACAAGAAGGACGAGAAGTGCCAGCCACTGTGAACAATGTACAAGTTTACAGTACGTGAGAAATGTTCATTGGAATTTGATATTCACAAAAATATATAACAGAAAGCAGCGGAGCCCCTGACTCAGTCTCTTTCATTCCACCGCTCTCCATCTGTTACATATCATCATCGTTATCATGTTTTACTTCCTCCCTCCTATCCTCCTTCTAATTATTATCATCATCTTTCCTTATCTTCTTCTCCTCCTCCTCAATTTTCTTCCTTCCTTCCTTGTTGTCTCTTTTTCTCACCCTTCATTATCGTTTCTGTAATAAGTTTAATAAGTACTTTTAAAGAAAAAAAAGGGGGGGGGGGCTGTAGTTAAGAAATGGGTTAAAGTAACGTTTTGCGCTGGTCTGGTTACATGGGTGACACGTTGTGTTGTTTTTAATGCTCTGTTTTCTATATTGCGCGCCGTGAGCGGCCAGCAACACGTTGCCATTTACTCGTTGTTGTCGGCGGCCGGCGACGTTGCGTAAATTATAGGCTGCATGCAGTCGTGGGACGTGGGTTGGATTGGGGTTATGGCCAGTTCTAGATGATTTGGTATTGTTAAAAGCTCTCACCTCGTAGAATTCAGAACATGCGATAGCAACTGCCGCTGACAACAACAGTAAAAGACAACGTTTCTTTGATACCACCTTTACTTCTGTCTTCCCATTATTCAAACTGAGGCCCATTCTTCCACTTTCTAACACCACAATGTCTATCATTTCCTGTAGTTCTTTCTGACTTGTTGCTATCAAGACTGTGTCATCAGCATAACGTAAATTGTTTATATTGTGCCCACCAACCACAATTCCGGGCATATCAATTAATGATCTAATTATAGATTCACTGTATTTTGAAAACAAATCAGGTGACAGTACGCATCCTTGTCGTACGTCCCTCTTTATGCTTTGAAATGTACCTAAACAGTTGTTTATTGTTATAGCTGCTGTTTGCTGCCAATACATATTCTTTATTATTCGTAGATCTTTCCCATCAATGTTTAATTTTTCTAACAGTTTGATTACTTCTTCATGCTTCACATAGTCAAATGCTTTTGTATAGTTTATGAAGCATAAGTACAAATCAGTCTTTACTTCTATGTCTCTTTCTGACAATGTCCTTAGGATGTATATGGCATTGTTTGTACCTTTTCCTTCTAAAAATCCACATTTTTCATCCCTGATTTCTGGTTTAATTTTGTTTCTTGTTCTTCTCATAATTATTCTCAGTAAAATCTTAGTCATGTGACTTATAAGACTTATCGTGCGATGGTCTTCACATTTTAAAGTGCCTGGTTTCTTTGGCAGAGCTATAAATATGGATTTTAAAAGGTCATTTGGAATATACCCACTATTATAAATATCATTTAAAAGTTTAGTTATTATTTCAGTGCCAAAATCTCACAGTGCTTCGATTTCTTCCAGTGAGACGTTGTCTTTCTTCATATGATGTATTGCATCCTCAACTTCTGCAGTCATTATTGGTGGACCATCATTGTTGGTCTGCAGTTCTACACCTGGTCTATTATCATCCTACAATTCCCCTATATACTGCTAATTAAATTACTATGTCACAATAATATGTTACCATCTTTTGATTTTAAACATCCAGTGCTGTTACGTGTCATCTTTCCTGTTAACATATTTATCTGTTGGTACATGGAATGTGAGTCTGTCCTGTGATTTCCCCCAATCTCTGTACACATTTGATTCAGCCAGGCTTCTTTAGCCACTTTGCATTTGTTCACTATGTCTTTTTTTATTCTAGAGTATTCCTCTTTATCATTATTTTTCTCCCTTCTTTCATCTATCAACTGCAAAATATCGGTTGACATCCATTTGTTTTTTGCAACTCTATGGGCTGGTGGGATTGTTTCTTTTGATGTCTGCTGAATTGACTCAGGCAACATATCCCACTGTTCATCAATAGTATTTTTCAATATCTGTCTCTGAACTATCTGCTGTTGGGGCTTAAATCTGTATTAAGTTGACGTCAAACGGTCTGCCGTGAAGTTTTACTAATAGTACTCAACCAAAATCCTTTCACAGTTTTTGAGTTTTTTTGGGATCCAAAATGATACCAACTCCCTTGCTATATTCCTTACCACCTGAGTAAATAATTCTCTGCTGATCTGAATACTTTTCCCCTGCTCCTGGGTCATCGCATTTCACTAATTCCTAATATTTTCATTATGTTCCTTCTCTTCATTTCCATCTTGATGTTATCCAGCTTTCTGTTTTGTACGAGTGTTCTGACATTCCATGCACCAATGTTCAGGAAGTTTCTACCATTTACTTTTTCTACAGTAGCTGGATGACGGTCGGGTATCACCAGTAGAACATGATGCTCCCTACCGGACGAGGTGATTCCAATGGAATCCCCATTCACGTCGTTATCTGAATTCATAATATTCTGAGGCATGATTGACTAGGGATAGCATACCTTGTCTTTTTCTTAACTTTCCGCCGCGGAGATCTAATTCTATGAGTTGTGTAAAATGTGTTTACTAATGCAACAGAAACAGAGCATCTTTTCATTCTGAGTCAGCTGACCTGCGTGGCCATCGATGTAAGAAACACACTGACCTGTATAATGGTGACCATGAAAGTTTCTCTGCCAAAGTCGTACCACTTCTCCCCTTCTGCGGACTCAGCATTGATCAGATCGATAGCCCACCACACGATCAGCGCCACTGCTTCGATGGGAGCAACAAATCTGAAATCCACAATACAATTATCTTAGCAGTCAAACGGCTACTGGTACCATCAGTACTGGAACACTGCACTGGCTGCTGACGATGGGAACGGAGCGCTTATGCCAAGTTCTCCCTGTGCTATCACATTCATTTTTGACGCAACTCGCCTCAAGTCTTTTCATATAATACATTAGTTATCCCACCACTAGTGACACTTATCTGCTCCTTGCATTTTCATTCATTTGACCACAAAATCACATCTCTGCTGCTTCAACATTATTTTCCACTAATCAAATAGGTTTAAAGTATTATTGATAATAATATCCCACGTGTGGGTTCCGCAACCACACTGGGAAGGGGGAGGAATAAACCCACATCCTCTAACAAGCATGTCGTAAAAGGCAATTGATTAGTGGTTTGCTGAAATCGGATTTCATTGGTGGAGAAGCGCACACATTACAGCCTATCTGTAAAACACAACGCACCAATCGTCCCTTTAAAGGCGAAAGATGAAGACGAAAAATACAACAATTATGTTTCAAACATTAATAATAATACAATTAGTATTTTTCAAACAGTATAACTTACTTAATTACCCATTCCCAGGTTTTTGAGAGCTTCCAGTCATCCAATCCAAAATCATTGACCAACACAGCTCTAAATTTGGCCGCGCCAACATATACAACCATGGAAATGAACATCAATCCGTTGACAACAAGTCCAAATCCCCAAACAAAGTCCTTCGGTGGGAAATGTCAGATGGAAAAAATACAACGAAATTAGAATGAAATGTACATAAAATAGATCAGTAAATTTTGTTATGGACCATAAAGTATAAAGTCTGGTTACAAATCAGTTCTCCTTAAAGTCCATACCGTGTGCGCTGGTAGCCATGTCTATCCCCAACCACCACCGGTTCTAGCAGGAGGCTACAAATGATATCGATGATCCTACATCCCATAATGCCAAACTGTCCAGCGTCTTCTCACTCGGTCTCTGTCTGCGGTTCTTATCCTCCAACTTTCCTACTGTCACTTTTTCTCATGACATGACTAACTAATGAAGACTGTCTCTTTCTGATGTGGGCAATCCAGGCATGTCGTAAGAGGCGATTAAGGGTGGGGTTGGGCTTGAGGTAGGCTACCTCATTCGGTTAAAAACAATAGCCATAAAAACCAGCCAACCATGGGTAAGTCAAAAAGAGAAGCTAGCTAAACCCAGCCAACCAAGACGAGGGGGGGGGGGCTCTTCAAGTAAAAGAAGTATGACACGGAGTGGAGAAAGCCGAAAGGAGTCCAGATCGTCGAAGTACCCCCTCTCACCTAGGAAAACTTCAAGAATTAGCACCTGGGAGTAAAGAAAGGACCAAAAAACACACGGGAAAGGGAGCTGGAGAATGAAATTAGAAAGATGGGAAGGACATGGGAAGAATTGCATGCGGGAGTTAGTTAAGGGCCTATGCCCCATTGGGGGCTAGAAAGGCAGAAAAATAAAGAAAAGAAGATATTGGCAATCAGTTCTCTTCATGAGTTAGTTTCTATCAAGATACACTTTTTTCCTTCCATGGAATTCTCATAACTCCTCTTTAAAACAACATATAGGCAGCTCCCAAATAATTTGTTTCACTCATTTATCAACTATCCATAATTTACTTCTGTATATCGGGATAGGAAGTGTTTAGCTTTTAACTGGATATTTGTTTTTCTGTTGGGGCAAAACGAAAATCCCAAAACAGTTATAACCATGCTGTTTTCAATCTTCAGCTTAAAAGACTCCCTGACTACACTACGAAAGTGGAAATTACAGGTAGCCACGATAAGACCACGACCCGCTCCAGCTGACGTGCCGTGCTGCTAACGTCACTGGGTCAGGCTAAAGATTGGTTAACGCAGCTGTTCTCAAACTGGGTGCCGAGGCACTCTGGAGTGCTTTGAGCTTATGCCAGGGCTGCCGCGGAAATAATCAAGCAAAGTCGGCTAAAAATTGTAAAATTATGAAGAAAGGTATGTAGATACTTAAAAGATTAAAAATTAAGTTGTCTTCCCTGGCCACTGTCGAAAATAGTTTATTTCTTGTTTAAGAACCGCTGCGTTGACTCATCGTTAGCTCGACCCGGTGACGTCAGTAGCAAGGCCCGTCAGCTGCAGCCGGTCGTGAGAAGACAGTGAGTAGACATATACATGTACCTGGTTGGTGAGTATATCAATGTTCAACGCAGACATCAGGCCAATGGTAAAGGTGAGAGTAACACAAAGCGGCATTGCGTAGCGACGGCCAACTGTGGACGTAATGGCATTGTGATAATTCTATAACGTGGGCCTGTCTGTTTTTTTTTTCCGCTCCATCTTATGTACGTCTGTTCATTGTTCAGACTGTCATTTACATAGTTTTTTATTTTGATTAAGGGAGCTGCGTGGTCTCGAGGTATGGTCTCCGCCTCGAGTGCTAGAGGTCTCAGGTTCAAGCCCCTGTGGAGGCTGCGATTTTTTTCACATGGACTTTTAGTAATTTCCCCCTGGTCTCTGCGTAGGAAGATCGAACGCTCGTGCGTATTGTTGCGCACGTAAATAATCCCTTGGCAGTTCGAAATCTAAAAGAGTAGCCTAACGGCGCTGTCCGCGCAAACTCTTTAGTAAAAAAAATCGAATCTATCCGAAGTATTTTAGGACCCTCGCAGGTGCAACAGAATTTGTGCACTGTGCTGAGATTCTTCAAACTCGGGCTTCTGAGTTACACCCGTGTGCCATTATGTTGATTCGTTGAATAAACATAAACATCACGTCGTTTGTCTGGTGTCTGTTGTTTTTAACATAAAAGCAAAAGACCTTTTCCCCTCGCCTTCTAGAGTCTTGAGCATTTAACCCTATACCTATATTTTATAGACCAATCGACATTTGGTGGGTGATATGGTAAACATCACACAAGCCGCTTTTACTTCCGAGGACTTTACCTGATTGTAGATTTCTCACACACACACACACACATTGGTACTATTCACGCTTTTGCTCACACACACATACACACGCAAACATTGGTACTACTTACGCATTTGCTCACACACACATATTGGTAGTACCTGCACATTTGTTCTCTCTCACACACACACACACACACATCAGTACTGCTTACGCATTTGCTCACACACACATAATAATTACGCATGTGCTCACACACATATTGGCACTACTTATGCATGTGCACACACACATATTGGCACTACTTATGCATGTGCTCACACACCTATTGGCACTACTTATGCATGTGCTCACACGCACACACACACACACACACATATTGGTACTACTTATGCATGTGCTCACACACATATTGGCACTACTTATGCATGTGCTCACACACACACACACACATATTGGTACTACTTATGCATGTGCTCACACAAACACACATATTGGCACTACTTATGAATGATCTCACACACATATTGGCACTACTTATGAATGTGCTCACACACACACATATTGGTACTACTTATGCATGTGCTCACACACACACATATTGGCACTACTTATGCATGTGCTCACACACACACACACACATATTGGTACTACTTATGCATGTGCTCACACACACACATATTGGCACTACTTATGCATGTGCTCACACACACACATATTGGCACTACTTATGCATGTGCTCACACACATATTGGCACTACTTATGCATGTGCTCACACACATATTGGTACTACTTATGCATGTGCTCACACACACACAATATGGTACTACTTATGCATGTGCTCACACACACACATACTGGCACTACTTATGCATGTGCTCTCACATACACATATTGAAACTACTTATGCATGTGCTCACATACACACACACACACACATTGGCACTACTTATTCATGTGTTCTCACGCACACATTAGCACTACTTATGCATGTGCTCACACACATATTGGTATTACTTATGCATGTGTTTTCACACACATATTGGTATTACTTATGCATGTGTTCTCACACACATATTGGTATTACTTATGCATGTGCTCTCACACACACATTGGCACTACTTATGCATGTGCTTACACACACATTGGCACTACTTACGTCCGAAGTCGCCCACAGTTTGTGTGAAGAGTTCAACGTTAGAAATGAGAGAAGTCAAGCCAGCGAATGATAGGCACAAGAAGAACAGTGCAGCCAGAACTCTGCCGAATGTTCCTACAGTCTGAAATAACACTGGCAACCTGCAAACAGTTGGGCTAAATTATTTATGTTCTAAATTACTTGTTAAATAAACAAAAAGCAAGGGGAAGTAAAAACAAAACAAAGTGAAGAACCTATCCACTTGTTGTGGCGTTGTCAACCTCTAGTTCTTGACCCTCCCCCTTTCCCCCACTTGCCCCCCCCCCCCCCCCGGTTTTTAAATGCATATTATGTCTTTTAATGCAGCCAAAGTATTTCAATGGTCTTTTTTTTTAAATAAATTTTTTCAGTAATTTTCTTCAACAACGACATCGAATGAACATCGCTTTAATAGATAAAGAAAAGGCTTTTGATAGAGTGAACAGAGATTTACCATGGGATTTGCTTCAAAACTATGGTATAAATGGAAAAATGCTAGATTGAGTAAGAGCTATTTAAAGAGAAAGTGAGAGAGTTATCAGAACAAGAGCTGGCCTCACAGACTGGTTCCCAGTAACATTAAGTATAAGCAAGGGTGTGATTTTTCACCTTTACTTGTTATAATATTCATGGACAATACTAACAACATAGATATTACACCACCACATGTCGATAAACAAGAGGACCTCAATGAGCTACTCTTTGCCGACGATCAGTGCAAATTCCACAGTGAAGTAAACAGCTGCAGGAACACACAAAACCAGCCAGCAGTTTTTCTTTTAAAAATCACATAAAGAAAAATTTCTGAGGGGGAAAAAAAAAAAAAGTCAAATTGGGCAAAAAAACACTCAAATCCAAACCGGGGGAATGAGATTTAAGAATGTTTTTGAATAAAAACCCCGAAAAGATTTAGTGAGAAAAAGAGTGATCAAAAAAGAACGGGGGAACAGGGCAAGGGAAAGAAATGGGGGAAAAGAATAGAATCCCGGATAATCCCTTAGGAATTTGCAAGACAGGGAAAAACTGCAGTACTTTGGGCCCCTTTAAATCGACTGTTTTTAAAAACCAAAAAATCACGTTAACTCCCACGAAAAACCCCCAAAAACTCCCCTCTCCTTTATCTTCACGGAGTCTCTGAAAAAACCCGGGTTTTTGTGTCAAAAATTTACTCTTCAAACCCTGATCGTTTCTTTTTTAGAGAGAACGGGCTTAGTGGGTTTGCTCTTCCCCGCTAATTTTGGGTTTAAACCTCAGCAAAGAAAAAAAAAATTTTTTTCCCCCCAAAGGGTAACAGCAGTTTCCCCATCAGGTGTTTTTACCTCATACACCTGAATTTTAGGAAAAAAAAAAACCCGGGTTTGGCCCTGATCTAATTTTTATCGGTTTTGGAAAAAGGAAAGATGAGAATGATTTTGGGGGATGACAAAGATAAGACGGGGAAAAAGAGGGAAAAAATAAATAGTAGTAGTATTAGTAGTGTATTTGTAGTATTTGTAGTAGTATATTTGTGATAGTGTGAGAAGAAAACGAAAAAGAAGAAAAAAGAAAAAAGAAGAAGAAGAAGGAAGGGGGAAAAGAAAAAGAAGCAAATGATCAAACCCCGAAAACAAAAAACATTTTCCAATAAAAGTCAGTCCAGTACTGGGCCGGGGCCCCCTGTCTTTTTATGACATGACAAAATCAGACCCGCGGGGAGGGCGGTTTTTGAGGCGATCAGCGTGGAGAAAACCGGGAAAAAAGGTGATCCGCAGACCCCAAACCCAAA